AATGCCATAGGCAGCAAAGGTATCGAGATTCCTCTGTGTCCTTCACATGGCGTGCTTCATGTCAGGACACTGAGAAATGTTTTCAAGGATGCTACGGGATTAAAGTACCGAAACCCCGATACTGGTCTCGATAGAGTGCTCTTGTATGTTTGGATTTCTTACTGTTAGTGAGTAATTCGTACCAAGATACAAACAATAAGCTTTTCGTTTCTGTCCAATCTTCAGAAGAGAAAAAGATGCTAATGATTAATGACCGTCGCTTTAAATAATGGCAGCTCTTTTCCTGAACTGTTAGTTCACAAGACTCGGCTCGATACCTGATTACGCTATAGGATGATCGAAGCAGGTTTGGAAATGCTCTATAAGCATAAGCTAGACGGAACTTTGCTACGATTGTCACTTGCCCGGAGAGAATCTGACAGACTAAGTGAGCTTTGCAGTCCTTGCTGTGCTGCTTCCTGGATTAAACAGGTTGCCCTTCTTCCAAAAAAAAGCCGCCACTGAAGGCAAATACCTATTGAATAACTATTCTTTTGAAAAATTAATTTTATTTTTCGGTCAGTTTGTAGGATGGATCATGACGAAACGTGTTTTATAGCTCCGACTGGAGGGTGGAAAAATAAGATGTTCACTGTCGTACGTCCTGCGAAGTTTGGTTAGCTATATTCGTTTTACTTCGAATTTTTGAAATTGGTTTTTCCATTCTTACCTTTTTATCAATTCACTTTATTTCAAAAGAATTAATGAATGTCGGGTATTTGCAATATTGATGTGCAACTGGCGCATCTTTTTAGTTCGCCCGCCAGGGAACGCGAAAAAGCAAGTGAAACGCTCATTAGCTAACAAATCAAAGGCGATGGCTGATATGGATTCAAACTCCGATGGAAAAATGAGACCTGTTCTAGCAGGTTCGAAAGCTAACTGTGTATCAGCAGCCTCAGAAGGTGTTTGTTAAAGTGGATGATGCCTACTGCGACGATGTATTTTGATTGCTTCCTCTTTTTTCTTCGCCGGCATCGATGTATTTTGATTGCTTCCTTTTTTTTCTCGTTTTCTTGTTAGTTTTAGTGTAATAAATAATTTTCCCAATATGTTTTCATCTCAAATTATTAGCTTTACTTCCTTAATAAAAGGTAAAACAGTCTTCAGATAAAATCCTAACTTCAAGATCACGAAACTCTGAGATGTTTACTTCACCTGTGTTAATATCCTTGATATATGGGTACTCTGGTTATTTACAGTGTGGATTGAGGAGCTTGTCCGAATTTCAATGGAAATCGGTATACTATGGTTAGAATTACTGTATATGAGTGACTTCAGCCTTACTCATGTTCTCATTCATCCCTCTGAAATTTTCCGGATATGTAAGCATACACAGGCAGAAGCTACATACGCCATACCCAACCTGTGAGCGCTTTCTCTAGGTTAGCAGAAAGCATAATTACGCTGCGGGAGAGATAAGTTCACGAAGTCATGTATCTAAACTAAATTCGGAGGCAATACAAAAGTTGAATAGGTTATGGAAATATGAAAATAACATGAAAATTATGGTGGCAAACATAAAACATACTAAGGATAAAACATGAAACAATATGAAAATCACCGCACACGTGACTGTGTGACTTTGTACGTACAAACAGGTGCAAACGATAAATATCGTGTACACGTAGTCGGTACATGAAGTTATTAGTTTCTAAAACTTAGCTCCTAGCATTTTCAATATTGCCTCTTTGTTTTCAATAAAATAAGTTGATACAGTGACATGTGGATCTTCCCGACACTTTTTTATTTGCTCTTCTATTGATTGTTTTTGACCATCCTTCGTTCCTCTTACACTGTGACGAGTTGACTGTCCTATTCTTCTGAAAATAGAAAATTTACAGTCAAGAAATTCTTGGTTTCCAAATTTGCGAATTCACATAAATTAAGCTTGTTCGTGGTAAAATAAGCAGATCCGGCAATATATTTCTCATATCCAAAAATGGACAGCATGATCAAAGTGATCAACCTTTGTATTTGAGGTACTGCTATTTGAATAGAAACATATTCGGAGCAGTAATCCTGAATTCTTGATAGTTCTTCTAGAATTGCTATGTTACTTATGTGCTTTACAAGCCCGGCACTTCTTAGCGATCCCTGAAACTAAGTCATTACTTAAAATTCAAACTGATTATTTACCGCATTTTGCTTTCCTTACATATTACTCCTACATAGTACAAATGTTACCTTTGCTTCTACATGTCGCATGATGCGATTAAAACATCGATATCCTTTTGTTGCAAAATCAATTTGAGTCAATATAAGAAGAGCACCCAATAACTGATCATTATCATGAGCCATCGCTGTTGAAGTATAAACCTTCAATTAGCACGAGATTTGCACCTTCCCATAAATCATTATAATGTAATAGTTTATTTACCATTTTTGAAATTTTAATGTTATGAGTAAGTAGCTATATGCAGTTACATAAATTTAATGGATAAAGTAATAGAATTACCCGAAATAAAATATGATACGCAATATCGTACACTATTCTTCTTAAGCGTTTTCGTTTGATTATTATGAAAGTCGGCTAGAATAAAAGTTTGATGAAAATAAATATTGAAATATAACCTGATGCTATACTTGATTCCAATCAAGAAACTGATTTCTAACAATTCAGTGTTTGATATAAAATATGAATATGTGCAAAATATATTGCTTTTCTAACGTCAATAAGTAAATGACTGTAACTGAGACGTAAGAACTCGTACTTTTGTGCAGCAAACTTTACCAAAAAATATGACGCATGCGGAAAAATACACAAACCTGGGTATTACAGTCGTTTTTAGTGTTTGTGTCTGGTAAATATATATCAGAAATGGGCTGAAAATGAGATATAAATTTGCACTAATGTACAGTAATGTATAATTTATTTAATGTCATTCGAAAAAAGCATAGATTAGCTTTGCAATTATTCAGTTCTAGAACTCAACAGAATATGACTACATAGTTTGAAATATCCGAAAAGCTTATTTTTGCGAGTATGAAATATGCGACAAGATCTAATTTTTTGACTCTGACTAGCTACAGAACCAGCAGAAAAAAATGCTTGAAAAGAACAAAACCATTTCTGATCCTATATCGTCCTCTTTTACAATATTAAGCATGTGAATCACGTTTTCACATGCATCAGGCCAACTCCGATCCAAGCAGTGAGCACAGGCCAGTTGGAAATAAAGCACCACTTTCGTCCAAGGATCATTATTTTCCAGCTGTAAAAATAAAAGATGGGGTTATACATGTAAGTTCGAAAACCAGCTGATTGATTATGAACAACAACCAATTGAAAATGAAACTGCTAAGCACAGAAGAATTAACACGTCGAAAATTTTTTACGGCACCCACATCATCAACATACGCTATTAATTCATTGATTTTGCATTTGAATAATAGAGACTGGGTGATGAACTGTCGAATATCACTGTAAAAAGAAGCAAAATACAGATTTTCAGCAACGACATCCACAGAAATTGATGTCATATACGTACAGATTGTTGCACAACAAAGTTCGTACGCTTCGCATAACTGAAAAAATATAGAACAGAAAAATTCTTTACTTTATCACAAATCGTTCATAAATTCCACGCTAGCTCTACTTACCTCGCTGAAGATGGCTTCAAGATCCAATAGTGGAATACCGATTTTCAGCAACGACATCCACAGAAATCGATGTGATATATGTATAGATTAGAAGAAATTCAAATAAAATCTGACAGATTTACTTCCAGTGAAAACATTATAAAAAAAAAAAGCTACCTCGCGTCGTGATGACAATAAATACTCTGTTTGAAATGTTGCTACCTCCTTTCGTTCCTTGAGCTTTGTCTTTTTTGAAGGAGTTAAACACTCAGTATTACTGTTCAATAATTTGTCGACGTCCATGGCCCAGTTATCTTCTGGGATCCATGCAAGTATTTCATCTGTTAAATTTTATGACGTAAACCTTGATAATATTAAATCTAGCTCCAAAAAATTGAACTTCCCATTTGCAAGCATGCGTTGTAATAAAATACATCAAACAGGCACAAAAGAAAGTGTTATACACACTGAATAAATCCTTATATGTGCTTCAATAAAAGAACAGTTAGCTTCGGAACTGAAGATGCAGGAAAAAAGTGCAAAAAAAAGATACCTTCATCGATATTTGCCTTCCATTGCTTATACGCGTACCATATAAAAAATGAAAATATAACCTTGCGAGCTTCACCTTTCAAACTGCAAGCTTTATCCACGATACTTGACAGAATGCTACATCCACTAAAAATATAGCCTATAAAATACATATGAGCAAGTAGTGAAATTCCCGGTGCTTTCTTGAAAAGAAATCTCGCCTATATAATAACATCATACCTCATATTTAACGATAAATTAACAGGTGTTCCAAGATCATATAAAATAACACATTTGTCGAATAGTGCAGCTCCTATTTTAAAACTCTCTTCTGAGAAGTGTTGTGCTTCAGCTGCATAATTTTCTGAGACTGCCCTGAAGTCACTGAGATTTATCTTGAGGAAATAGTTTACCTATTTATCAATAAAAACAATCAGCATGGATGATCTATAACAATATATATTTGGGATAACAAAATTATTGCTTTTTTCTTAGTGAATTATGAAAATTAGTGACCGTAGAAGATTAGTCCACATATCATTATGTTTTGACCAGGCAATTCCAACGTGAAGAACCGTGACAACAATACTCAAAGCTCTGCTCACGGTTATGTTTGTAAAATTTAGTTTCAAGAGAGCAGGAGCAACAAAGACTGCTGAAAAAGAATTCGGTGAATAAAATAATGAATAAAAAGTGTTGCACAAGATCGCTATCTTTCTTTCAATAAATGAATTTGTTTGCAAACATTCACTGAATGAATAACTTTATTCTGTGATCTTGATTTAGCAATAGTCTTTTCCGGTATTTAGATTATATGGTCCTTTCGAAAAATTACCCAAGTAAACATGATATTTGCCAATGCCACTCTCGAGTTCCTTGTCATTGCTAGCTCTTTCTGTTATAAATGTTACGGCACGGTTCTGCAAAACCAATGCTTTTAGATTCTACAATTATTTTGATATTTTAAAATGAGCTTATTCAAGGAATACTCAACAACCTCTTTTCAAATTTTTTGCATGTCAGAAAAGAGAAAGAACTGGGAGGAAAAAACTGTTGCAAAGAAACAATGAAATGAATTTCCAAAAGGTCGGGGAACACAAGAAATTGATAAAACTAACCAACAGCTTGCTGAACTTGTTTTCATCGGCATTACGCAAACAAAAAAGAAGTAATTTGGTTTTCAAAAAATCGTCGTTGTCAAAACGTTTTGTTAAGCCGCCAATGATAAACTCAAATGCATCGTTTGAAATTTCCGTGAATAAAACTGGAAATATTTTTTTGCAATGTTATTTATCAATAAAAGATAAATTACTGAAGCAGTACCTTTTTCAGTAGAATTCTCTGAAGAGGATGCTTTTAGGAAAAGTTGATATATTAGTGTCCAGGCCTCATCTGATGGATGTACTTTTACACTAAAACAATGAGCTTTAACAATTATCACTTTCAAGAAGAAAGTTTTCAATCTCTTTACGTCCTGTAAGCCCAAAATTTGGATTGTAAGATAAACAAGAAAATTTTGTCATATGGTAACAATCTGGTCAAACCATGGAATAACCATGATGAAAACTTACAGTCGCTCCAGTATGGGGACAGCTTCTATGGCACGATTCCATTTCATATAAAATCGTAGTTCAGTTATCTATAAAGTAAAATTGAAGTTTTATAAAAAACTTTGATGGTATAAATGATTATTTAATTCCATGCTTACAATGTTCGACCACCATTAGTGGACATTTTTTTTCCGCAATATATTTTAATATTCTTAAGAAGAAAAGTTGACCAGTATTCTTCAGTAAACTCTTCATTTTTCCTTCGGACACTTCTTATCTCGCCTGCCGGACATGAGCCGTATTCTAATTGTATATGTACAAATTGCGCTTTTGAAAGTATCTTGCGCACCTACAAAGCTTACATCACACAATAATAAGTCGAAATCAGGATACAATGAAGCCAATCGACAATGTGCTTTCCCGACTGCATAATCATGTTCCTCTGCTAAACAACGATCCAAGTGCTCTTTCGCCGATAATTCCATCATTGAATTCTTTCAGCCATCGCGTTTTTTACATGCACATATTATAACCTATCCGACAAATGATATAATCTAAGGAATTAGCTTAAGGTATGAATTTTTATTTGCATTTCTAAAGTTTCATTAATTTCTGTTTGAAGAGAAAAGTTAGAAAATGAGAAAAGAGAGAGGGAAAGAGAGAGAGGAAGAGTGAAGTGAATAAGTACAAGGATCGAAGACTGAAGATCAATCCCTCATCAAATATAATTGAACAAAAAAAAAAAAAAATCGGAAACCATCCTCCCTCAATCATTTCTTCTATCCAAAAACTTCTGAGTGCAACGTCGACCAACCGTTTATTTCGCTACTTAGCAATCTCTGTCTTTCTCAAAATTCAATGCTGCATTTTTTTTTTTTGCTCAACGATAGCTACGCTTACGCATGCTAACCACATGTTTGAACGTTGTGATATTCCCGCTATAAGAATTGGACGCAGAAGAGCGGATATCTGAGGCGAAGAATCGTGTTTGAACTTTAAGTGACAGCACTACGGTAACGTTATACCTTCGAGATATACAGTTCTATTACGAATTGACCTTTGGTTATTCATACAGCCAAACTGGACGTTTAATTGAAATATCGCGTTTTTTTTTTTTCATATCTTCGAACATTCAAATTATTTCATGCTTGCTTTTTGTATGATTGGTGTTTGAAACTTTTCTAAATGTTGTTTAAAAGTTCCAGAATCCAGAATTTTGGGTTATTGAGAAAACTTATAACATTTCGGATTTCGAGAATAGTTCGATTTTGTTGTGGATATGATATTTTTATGGGCATGCTTGCACTGGATAGCAAACAATTAAGATATACAATAGTTTTTTAATTACTAATTTGAAGGTACAACAAGTATTAATTTCAATGCGAATAAAATGTGGAAACTTTTTCAAACAGAGGCTATAGTATCGCTGCCGATCGTTTACCCAATGATTGACCTGCGAGTGCATCAAAATATCGTTTGGGTAACTCACGATAACTGTCAAACCTTATCCTTCCGCCATCTGAATTGGATAATGGATTGATTACGTCGAAATTTCGCTGCAATATTGACAGTTTTCAGTGAATTCAAAAATTTCTCTTTTGATGCGCAGTAGTCAAGCACCTTACTTTTTGCTTTTTTCTGCCGTTCCTTCGGCATTCTTCCTTCGGACGTTTTTGTTCCCAAATTTTACGAGTACGATGTTGAAATACCAATTTAATTAGATTGAAAAAGTAAAGTTATTTGATTATTACCTCTCCTTAAAATCGTAAATTTGGAACTAAGAATTGGTCTGACAAACCGCTCTAATATGAATTTTTAAATCCTTATATATTTTAAAATTTTGAATAAGTAGAAAAAGGATAAGAGAAAAATATTTTTGAAGAAATTTTTTTGAAAAAAAATAGCTTAGCACATGTAAGAAAGACTAACCATGTGCAAATCACCTCTGTCATAATCGATGTAATTTCCTCGAGGTAAAATATGTTGGGATTCAGTATGATAAGCTATCAATGTCATACTCCACGTAATCATCAATAAACGTATTGCTTTCATCATTGTTGTTCATTAATCCTTTTTTTTTCCTGGTGAATAATACGATTGTGGATTCACGTAACGTCCGTACTTGTTGCTATGCAGATAAAAGTAAAATATTCAGAGTTATAAATTGGTTTTTCAAATTGTGTTCGTGAGATTAGAAATAGCATTATTAATAAAACGACAAAATCAAAGAAGAGTTATTTGAAAAATGAATGTTAGGCAAAGCTCTAATTTAAAATATTTCACAAAATTACATTTTACCATTTTTCATCATTTATGGTCCAAAAACGAAACAACGAGAATAACATCCTGAATAATGCAAATATTAGTAAGATGGATGACGTACTGAGAGATTCATGATATTCAAATTCTTTTTGCAAACATTTGTAATTTATTGAAGAAAAATTCTTCTAGATTATGCGAGGTGCGCCTATGTTTGGTCATTATTGCATCCTTAAATGCCTGAGAACTTTTGTTCTTGGGATACTTTTTGGAGTTAGAATAGAAGAGGGAACGGAAAAAGCCAAATCAAGTTAAGAAAGCGAGACGCAAAGGAAGTGGGAGGTACTAATTTCGAAAAAGTCTCACAATTTCAAAACAAGTTCCTGCTCATTTTCTATTCAATTTTCTATGACCAATATTATGAATAGCTTTATCAGAATTTATTCCGATATTCTCTATCTCCATTCCTTCATTTTTCTTAAGTATGATGTTACGATGAAACAAAAAAAAAAGGAAAAACAATGAAAATTTTGGCACAGAAAAAATACTTAAAGCAATAATTCTAAAATCAACATCACAACCAAAAAAATTTTGACTATAATAGTGTTGGTTTGATTTAAATATAAGTCCAACATGAAAATACCGTCATTTGTCACATGTATTGCCTCAGTCTAAGAGGAAATTTGTTATTCCGTTAAAGCTTACAAGCATTCATTATTAGGTGACCGAAAATTAATAACACATGATAGTGAAACGCTGTCCAATAGCAGAGGGAAGTGTATTATTTCAATCATTGAAAATTTAAGCACTAAAGAATTAATGAGTTTGAAATCAGCCCGCTAACCCTGCAGTCATATCATGTATGCTTTTTAACCTATCGTCTTATTAACTAATAAATATTTAATTGGTTGCTTAGATGGAACTAAAATCGAATTCATATATAAGAATTAAATTTTTGTGCACATCTGATACAAATAAAGAGATTGAAAGTCAACATACAGAAATCACAATTTGTTAACCGCTTCTTTTTAAATTTCGTCAAATGGCATATCAGTTTAAAGTATGTGAAAATATCCGTTTCCGCTTATTCTGCTTCGAAATTATGATCTTCACCTCACAATTATTTTTATGAGTATGCAAATCATTCCCTTAATATCCCATGCTACATTTTTATTCTTATATAGCATTCAAGTAGCCGTTGCCAAATAAATATTAACATACAAAGCATATTTAACATTTCAATTCATTTTTGTACTCTATTAAAAAAAGAAAAAAATAAATGTAAAAAATGTAATTATAAAAGAAAAAAAGGATGAATTATGAATTGTTGTGTGTGATTTTCAAGTTGAAAAACTCTAAAATTAAATAAAATGAAATTTTGTAGACATGAAATTGATATAAAAATAAGAATTTTATTTTATTGCACGGTTGTAGTAGTTGTTTTGAATGGAAAGAAATGATTGAGAAATAGGAAATAAAGAGGAAAAGAAATGTGCAAGTGAAAATTGTTTAATTTGCTATCACTAACAGGTAATTAGTGAACTCGTTATCTACAACAGGAAATGTCTGCTAATTACGGCTGCTTTGCAAAATTTTACTAGATCTTATTTCAATCAAAAAGAAAGAGCGCATTTATTATTTACATAGTTACTTCAATTCAACCAAATTTCACCAATTGCAAGAAAAAAAAAACTTCCGTCTTCTTCAGTTAAAGAATAGCAGCAGTGATGGAAATGGTATATGTATTCAGATAAAAGCATATTAGAAGTGGACATTGTTAGTGATTTATCATATCAGCACAAAAATTAAATAAACAATTGTAAAAAGAAAATTATAATTGCATTTAATTGTAATTTGATGGTGAAATTTGCCAGATTGCTGAGATAAATTCGCTTTGTTGCTTTCAACACCAATCTATCATAAAATCAAAAAAAATGAACTTTATAAAATTTTTGCATAAAAAGGATGGATTTATTTTGCTTGTAGAAAAGAGTAGAAAGAAAGTCTGAAAAATAGACTATAAACTGAGGAAAAACTATTGAATTTTTTGTTTTTTTCTTTTCTTTAATTTTAATAAATTGTGATGAATAAGTTTACAAACTGGTAAAGTATTGAAAAAAAAAAAATATTCAGAATGATTGAAGCAAGTTCTGTTGCTGATAATTCTATTTGAAAAATCGTAAATGGACCATTAGCTAGCATTTTAGACTATATGAATGATAATGATGTGATAATGGATAAAGTTATTGAACGATATGATGATAGTTAACTTTAGCACTGATTCATTTTTCAACTTCAACATTTCAGTATTGTATCTTTCCAATTAATAAAATTTTCAATAAGATTACCCTTATACGAGCTTATGGTTTTGCCTAATCTTTGATTATACTATTTCTATATGACTTATAAATCATTTCTCTACTATCAAGAATTTTTTATTACAGTACATATTTTTGTTTCATCATTAATTTATTTCATTTTTTAAGGTAAGCGATAATTTATAATAACAGTTTATACTCATTATTCATTTCTTCTTCATCTTATTAATCCATGTCACATCGAAATTTGTTTGAATTAGTAAAAATTTTACGTTTACAATTAGTTACAATTCATCAATGATCAGTTTTACAAGTTGATCAAAATATTTTTTATTGATGTCAGTAGTAGGGATATCTTTGTTGCTTCACATTATTCATCTTATTTACAGTAACAAATTTCATTTTGTTTTACTCTGTTAATATACTATATTTTTTTTCACTTCTTTAGTTTCAAAAAAACAAAATTTTAAGTTCAAATTTGAAAGTGAAAAAAAGTGATGTCTTTACTTTTCTTAAATAATTTTTGTAAATATATCACCCGTGAATATATTTCTTTCAATAAGTTTCCTTGGTAACAACATCATATTGTTATATCATTTCCCATATTTGGAAAATTGTAACAAATGTTGAAGATTAATGTTAGAAATAATATTGCACTTTTTAGCTTGTTCATCATTTATATTCACATTTCAAAAATATTGAATTTTTTGAATTAATTTTGAAAAGAACTGAAATGTCGTGTTATAACTCGAAAATTTTGATTATAATACATGAATGTTAGATGGATAATGGTAGTTTAATCTTTGCTATAAAAGAGATAATTTTATTAAAATTATTTTGTTCATAGAAAAAAAAAGATATTGTCAATATGTGATCGATCAATATTCATTAATAAATATCATAGAAACAATAAACAATGGGAAGCATTTAAATGTATAAAAAATAACGCAATCAAAATAGTTGCTATAATAAGTACACCAAACATATGCAAATAATTGGAGTTCTTTTATCAGTGAAATAATTAATGCTACACAACTATGCTTGAACGATCATCAGGATGAAGCTTTTTCATGTGAATTAAATAAAATAATAAAATTAAAAAAAAAATAAATTGGAACATCGTTTAGCGGAAATAAAATATATTTTAAGCATGAAATTTTCAAACAATAGAAAACTTTCAAATTCCAAAATTTCAAACAAAACTTTTCACTGAACATCGTAGATTAAGTGACCATAATTACAAAATGGTAGGATGTTTATTAATTAAGGATAGTTTAGCATTTGCTAATTGGTTATCATATTAGAAATGTTGTTGCGACATGTGGCAGTTTCTCGAAAGCATGTCACAAAAACAAGTGCAACATTTGGTTTCCATGCTATAAAATAATATTTTTTTAAATTATAGAAGCTAAAAAAAACTTTTAAAAATGAGGATTTAAGTTTTTAAAATTTTTAAAAATAAAACATAAGCCAAAAAAAAGTCTAAATCACGAAATTATTTCGACAAACAAAATGTAGTGTTTAAGATCGTATTAAAACTATTACCAAAAGTTTATTAAAAGAAAAAATAAAACAAATAGCTCAACATGATATAGCAATCTATTTTTGGTAAAAATAATTTTTAAGCACACTTACTAATTATAGCATTCAATTTTGGGACAAAATTATCGGATGTAATTTCCGAATTAGCAATATTGCGCAATTTTTTTCGATATTTTGCTCTCCGATTTTTGAACCATATCTAAATTAAAAATTATTTCAAAAATTTTGATTTTATTCATTAAATATTATTATTCTTCTTTAGTTTCATGAAAAACAATACAGCCAAATATGTGGTAACACAGTACAATGTAAAAGGAAAATTAAGGAAATTTTTCTGGATCTCAATGATATGATTTATTATTCCATTATTTGGATTTTTTTTTTTTATAGTTAATGAATTTTTTTTTTTGCTTTGAAAATCCTTGGTATGCATAAGTCTTTAGATGAAGGGTCACTGAAAGGTCGTGAAGTGATTAGACAAGTTACAGTTGTATTCGACAGATGAAAGATACTTGAGTGGTTGTGAAATGGATGTTATCCGACCGCATCTGCCTACCACATTACCGATGGAAGCTTAGATTTGTTTGCCTAACCACAGTAATGTATTGGTAAATATCATCATCAACAGCTGCAAGCTCGAGCTACACTAATAATTGAGCAAGTCAACAGACATAAATTTACACTAATCTGACCAATTTTTCATAACCATATGCGACAACGAGAAAATACTGGGAAAAATATCTGTGAAGAAATACTACATTTTCCAATATTTTATGCATTAAAAAAAACAAACAATGGAAAAAAAGACATAATACTCATTGATATAATATAAACTAATGAAAAAATTATTGTAATTAATATTATTGTAATTTGTACTTATTATAAATGAAAAAGTACTAATTTTTATGCGATTAATTATTTAAAGCATTAAATTTAAAAAGACCTGAATGCACATTTCTGATAATTGCGTTTCCGCAGCCAGCCTCATCCTTATATCCATCTTTGGATATTGACATTTTTGGAATGCATTTTCAAGTAGCGATAATTGTTGATTCGTGAATGCAGTTCGCCTACGAGGTAGCTTGCTGTTCTTTGCATCATCTAATATGAATTCAAATATAGTAATTCTGGCAAAATTGACTTCTCAATTAATGAATATCCTTGAATAATCAATGAGTATTATGTCTTTTTTCCATTGAATTAAGCATTAATATATTAATAATAATTCTTTGCATATAATTGTCAAAAAACAAACATATCAAAAGAGATAATGAATAGTAAAATGTTACCTGAAAATGGTAAAAGAAGAAAGACAAGAGTCGATATTAACTAAAACTAATGATTAAGTTGTAACAATGATAAGTGATTTGACGATTAATTTTACAATTTGACATATTTCAAATGGAAATCATTATGATAATTAATCATGTTGTAAATGAGAATTGCATTATTAATGTGGAAGAAAAGTTACCTCTTGAACAGTAACTTCTTTCGAATACAGCGTTGCAATTTGTAGCAGTAATAGTAGTGGTAGTAGCAGTAGTAGTAGTAGTAGTAGTAGTAGTGATAGTAGTAGGAGTAATAGTTGTTGCTATCTTTGATAAAAGGTCATAAGAAAGGAAAGTAAGTTCCAGCGGTTCGACCTTCATCAATAGCAATCAATTACCATGGTGCTCATTAAGAGGGTTTAAATGACACGCCCATGTCTTCACCCTTTGAAGTTTACATATGTGGACAAGATTTTTTGTTGACACAGGAATACAGTGGTTATATCTCTTATGAATACTTCAAGCAAATGATCGGTTTTTCATAATGTGGCACAATTAGAATTCATTAGGCAAAAATAAACCTGACCAATCAAAACTACGCTAACTGGACTAAATTAAAGTTAGAACAAAAGAAGAAAAAGCATCATACATTCTTGACTTGTGCAAACAGGTTTGTAGCTCAATAATTAACAGGAGAAACGAAGGATTCAAGTTTCTTCATTGCAGAAAATTGTGTAAGTCATCCTTTTCCTGATTAAAATTTCCTGATTGCTCTTAGCATTTGTGTTTCCTTCCCGTCGTACACTGTGGGAAGCTTATAAAAACATATTTTTTAAATGAATACGATATGTATGAAATTAGGATCAAAAAAAAAAAAAAATCAAAAGTATGTAAATTTCTGCAATAATTATCAATTACAAATTGTTTATCTGATGAATCAGCGATCAAAAACGAGAACATTAGAGAAATTTAAATTTCCTTCAAACATTGAAGTTTATTTTAATCTCTTTATTACTTTTATTCCCGTTATTTGGAAACGAAATTTTTGCATCAAATGATATAATGAAAATTGCTTTCTAATATTTAAATTCTGAAAGCATATTTTTTGTTTGCAAAATGGTAGAAGTCTTTTGAACTTCACTTAATTTCCATCAACGGAAGCCAACAATTATGAATATCTTAATAATTGCTATACTGCTCCTCCAACACATTTACTGGCTCATTCGTAAATAGTACTCGTAATGACAAATAAATAAATATGCATATTTCGTTTATCTTATCAGCATCTATTTTATCAAATCCATGTTTAATCTATGAAATCTATATGTATAGATTATTGCAGATTATGGAATATCATTCTATTAGCAATAATTTGAGACTAATAATTCCTTGTTTTGAAACAAGATCAGTGAATTTTAATGTGATTCAACAGCAAAGGATTCTTATCGAATAAACAAATAGTTGCTTTCATCTTCGAAATAAAGAGTAAAACCTCTGGAAAAATAACTATAAGCATATCAGCAGTAGTTAAATAGAATTAATCTGTCTGAACTGATCTTATGATCATAAGGAATTGACCATTACGGTGATTTAAAGAAAATCTTGTGAACGTATGATGAAGATCGGGAATCAGAATTAGAAACCAAATAATGACATAGGCTTTGCTGAAGGTTTAACCATATTTCAATACCACAAATATGCGATAACAAATTTTTGCAATTAAATTTATATTGTTATTCATGTCTTATTAACATCATTTTATTAAAAGAAAAATAAAAAGTAGAATGGACAGTAAAATGTCCCGTCTAAAATGTATTCTGTCTCGATAAGAGAGCATTATCGGATGGTAATGCATTATCTTTTAGTCGCTTAACTCATTATGTGAACTTATTCTTCACGATAGTACAAATATAAACCAATAATCAGTTATAGCATAATTGATAAGAGCTTTTTAATATAATTAAAATTGAATTAATCCTTCAATAATCCATCATATCTTATTGCTCTTCATTTTATTGCTTAAAATTATTTAAAACTATTTTTAATTCAACGAATTTCATTTACAATTTACTGCTTAAAAAAAATATTAACGAAAAGATCATATTGTAATATATGATGAATTATCTGAAATAATTGTTAAATGATAAAAATAAGTATCGTGATATATACATTCATTCTATTGCAATTCTGAAAGATTACAACAATAAAATGTTCCTTTCATTTAGAAAGTAATGAAAATGGAGGAATCTCTGTAAAAGTACAATTTCTTACGTGTGCAATGTATGTGTGTGTGTGTCTGTGTGTGTTTGTGTGTGTGTGTCTGTACTTGTATATGTCCGTGTCTGTATGTGTGTCTGTGTATTTGTGTAGGTAAACCACTAATATTGTTTGTTTTTATTGCAGTAAATGTCATTTTTTGTTTAGTGAATACCTTTCGAGAAGTAAAAGTTTCTCTTTAATGGTATGATCTCAAAATTTTCCATCGTTTATACATCGATATTATTTGGCATTATTTTAGCAAGTTTTCGCTATAACTATCATATTGGAAATGTGAAATTCTCTTGCATTAAAGGTAAGCTTCTGTGGAAAAATGAAGTTGACAGAAGTAACAGTTCCATTAAATAATAGTAAAGAGATTTTTAAAAAAAAAAACAATGATATGTTTAAATTAAAAAATTTGAGATTGATAGTACTTTTTTTTTTAATTTGCGCTCCTTATTATTTTAAAACTAAAAAAAAATATTAATTACAATTTAAAAAAGAGCAAAAACAAAATGAATATAATTTGTATATTAAAAAGGTATAAATTTGTAGGATGGAGTTTATATGGAAATTCATGCTATATAATTGTTCCACAAAAACTTTCTTGGACAGATGCTAACAATCTTTGTGCTTCACAGAGGTATGATGTTATATTATCAGCATTTATATTTGCTTATTTTTAAAAAAAGTATAAATGTTGTGTGACTTTGTCATGATTTCTACTGTTTGCAGGTATAATTACAGTCGAAGTATCGTTTTGCATGATTGGTTTTTGATGCGTGATGTGAGTGTGAATTTGCTCAATTCAACAAACAATTACTGGACAGCATTTTATTATCGAGGCGCAAAAAGACAAAATTGTCGTGTGCTTGATACAGTGCTGCATGCGAAATACTATCCGTATACAATATCTATTTATAATTCACTTTTATCATCAAATCAGGTTATAATTAAATTATTTCCGGAACTGTTAATTTCAATAAATATTGAGATTGGAGAGATGAGGAGAGGGAAGAATTTGTTTCTTGAAAAAACTCTGATATTGCAGGGCTTTTTGGTGAGCAAATCAGACGTGCAATTTGAATGATAAATTTAAACTGAATGAAAAATTAGTATCATAACAAATACCAGTTACTTTCTTCTTTCAGTCTGGGCTTGAATATTGCACTACGAATAGTTGCATCTATATGCATGCTAATTTTTCGGATCAAATTAATTACGGTTGGAAAATGGGTAATTGTTCTGCAAAGTATCCAACAATTTGCGAAACGTTCGCTTGTTTGGAAGGTAAATAAGTTTTTCAGAATTAATTGTGAATATTTTCAAATTCTATACCTATTTTTAGCATTCTAATTATAGATTATCAATATCGATGCGAAGATAACAGTAAATGTTATCCACGAAAAGGTCGATGTGATGGAATACAAGAATGTAGTGATAATTCTGATGAAGTAGGTTGTTCAAGGAGAAAACGTGTTGCTTGCGGCAAAACGTTATTTGAAGAAGCAGAAAATGAAATAAGCTTCGAAATGAATGCCGCTGAATATGCTTTATGTCAATGGACCATTCGACAACCTCTTGGCAACAAAATCATCCTAACGGTTCATTTTCATAAATGTTTTAGAAAATTATATTAAAATTATATTATTATAGGCTTATTAAAAAGTTGACTGAAAATTTTTTCCTCGATATTTTCCGGAGCACTTTTCTTTGCCAGTAAACTATTAAAATGGGATGATAACCTTTCTAGCTGGTTAATGTTACCATTAGAGATGATGATGAACTGATCGTTAATGGAATCCAAAACAATAGTGTCACTATTACATCAAACTCACAAATGGTATTAAATATGCCGGTAGCAAAAGCACAATATACTTCCATTGGTGACACGGTGACAATCACTTTTCGTTCTCGAAAGACCGATCCAGCGATTGTTAACATGTTTAATGTTATTCTAAAATTCTCATACACCACACGAGGTTCACTTCTACTTCTTCTAAAATTTTGTTTTTGATGCAATATAAAAAGCCTTTTCAACAGAGAAATATGGAATTTTCAATATATTTTGGAAATAATAAAGAGTGTTGTAAATTACCTTAACTTCTTTTTTTTTCTAAATCCTCGATCAAATTTGAATAATGAAAAAGTTCAAAAAAGCATTCTCCATGAAGATGCCAGCTCTTTTCCAGGAATGTACTGCTTCATGCCGATAATTGCTCACGGTTCGGTGATAAATGTGACAGGTTTTGAAGTAGGAAATGAGTTGTATTTTGAATGTCATTTGGGTTACCAAATACCGTCTGGACAGTCCTCTTCATCACGTTGTTACAATGGTGATTGGAATCCGAAGCCAAAATGCCAAAGTATTATTTAGATTTTACTAATTATTGATTAATGTCTTGTTAGCAAATGATATTTTAAAAGCTCGTATAAAAATTATTTGTTACAACTTAAGGATGATTACAGTTTTGACTTGTGGTTCAGCAAGTGTAGTATACAATAATGCAATTCTTACCGGTTATACTAGAAATGTAACGTTATACAGTCGAGCATTGTATTCATGTGAAGCCGGTTTGCATCTAAATAACAACTCTCCACCATTTCGGCTATGTATCGAGAACGGAACATGGACCAATCCCAATTTTTCCTGTCAAGGTAATTGTGATCTAATTTACTGGTTAACTTTTTTTAATAACTTGATCGATTTCTGAGATGTTTGAGAAATCACTAAAATTATTATAGCATCTTTTTGTCATGCTACTTCATTCGCATATGGACACTTCTTGGATGAATTTTATGCAAATGGTACGGCAGGAAAATATGTGTGTGATGAAGGATTTTATCAAAAAGATGCTGATCCAATGTGTATATCCGGTAGTTGGAAGGGCACACCTTATTGTTATCGTTAGTTTTTAAATGATTAACAATTTATTTTTGTCGAAATTTCGGTTTTCTCAATTGTAGCTATTTGAAAGTAATGATTTATAGCTAAATATTATTGCTATTATAATTCATGTGGAAATGGAACATGTGTTCAACTAATTGGTGGCTATAGTTGCATTTGCTATGAAGGTTTTCGCATGATTTCTACATCTAAAGGTTATATATGCTCAGGTATAGGGTGTACTTTTTTGACTGTTTTCTATTAATTAACACTTATTGAGTATCGTAAATTACTTCATTTAAATATAACTAAGAATGTAGCTTTCAATGAATGCTTAAAAATAATCAATAATGTTTTAGAAACATAACTTTTATTTCCAGATATCGATGAATGTTCCATACCGGGTTATTCTCTTTGTGAATTTACATGCGTGAATACAATTGGTTCTTATGAATGTAAATGTCCTGATACTCATCGGCTTTATACTGGTCCAAACAGTGTGAATCATCTTATCAGTAATACCGAATTTTTGATTCCCAACAGAACATGTATTGGTATGTTTGTTTTTTTTTTCACCTCTGGAATATTTTGAATTTAATTTTGTCAAATTATTGAAACATAGAAAATACTGTTGTCATTGTCGTATTGTTGTCACCAAAATTGTCTGTTATTTTTCTTGTAGAAATGCAATATTACAGAGAAACGATGTCCTGTACCTGAGATTCCACCAAACGTCATCCCTTACCCGTTATATGTGGATCCCTTTTCATATCAAAATGGACTCTTCCAAATTGGTACAATTGTGTATTTTGCATGCGATCATCCTGCACATAATTATACGACCCTCGTTTGTAATGATACCGAATCGTGGGAAGTGTTAAATGATTGCTTAGGTATGTTCATATTACCGCAAGGGCAGTAATATGTTTGAAAAATTTCAAAGAAATCAATATATTTTATAATTCTGTAACTCAACTCTTAAATTGTGCTCAGACTTTGTTTGAATATTGAAGTTATAGTATCGGGTTAGTATAACCGTTCCAGTTATAAGTAATGAAGTCACTTACGTAGAGTTAAATGTATTGTTGGACGGTATGAAATTATTCTGACTGAATGTTTGGCATAGAAAAGATTTATACAATCTTATCCCTATGTAATATCAGTGAGTAATTGTGTTATAGTATTCTTCTAATCTTATTTTCAGACATAACTTGCAAACCACCAGAAATTGCAAAGAGAAATTTGATGATTTGGCCTATTAAAAAGAGTTATAAATTTAAAGATCAAATTCATTTTTTCTGTGAAGAATTTTATCAATTGAACGGCCCATCATCCTCATATTGTATTGGTGTCGACAAGTGGTCTTTGCTGAAATTGCCAGATTGTGTCGGTTTGTTGTTAAATTTATATTGTAAGTGATGTTACTGAAACAGAAATTCGACCAAATTGGTTGTTTAATTATTGCATATCGAATATCTCGGGAATATTTTAATAATTAATTCCAAAAAGAACTTCGAATTTTATGTGTGTATTATTTCAAGATTATATAATTGATTTCAAATGGATGACTATAAAAGGAAATGTTAAAGTGTTCTTTAGTAAGGCAATGTCCTGGCTTGCAACTTGATGATTATGAAACCATTCCTGTTAACAACAAAAAAGACAATGCCGAGGCTAATTTGGAAATGTTTTTTGAATCAGCTACACATATTGCAGATACACCTGGATATAGGTAACCGCATTTGAAGTTTAAAGTTGTTTTCAGACAACCTATAATTTAGTCGAAATTGGAACTTAGCCAAAATTCTGAAATTGTTTAAAAAATATTATTGTTAATGCCTGTACCATTATGGAGAAATCAAATATCGAAGATCTCTTATAAATTTCCCACCGGCAAGAATGAAAACTAAACACGCTGATGCACTGAATTTCAAGACTTTTCGATCTTGACACCCAAAGTGACGCATTTTTAGTTTGCACGAAATTTGTGGAATATTATTAACCTATTATGCTTTTACATTATGCAGTCGCTGCCTGATTATTTGCTGAGAAAAACTACAACTTGAATTTTCATAAAGGAAGAACTGGCAAGAATATTTGGGAGCAAAACATGCATATTCGACTTTTAAGATTTTTGAATCAACCATTTGCATGAGAAGAGCAGTTTAAAAATATGTAATTGTTATTATTTTTTACAAATTTAAGCAATCTTTTTTATATTTTTATTTCAGATTATTTATCTCTTGCAAAAATGGTGCTAAATTTGCAAATGGTCAGAGTAAACTTCTTTTATTTTGCATGCAAAATTACACCTGGAATTTGAATAGTATTCCCGCTTGTGCCCACGAAGGTAATTGTTCTCATTTACTGTTTCATTGATTATTATTATTACTTCAATGATTATTACAGTAATTCATGTACAGTGCAACAAAATATGTGTTGAAATTTGTTTTTCAAGAAAGAAATTTTTTGAATTTAAACATTGTTTTTCGTGCAATAATATTTTTTATCATCTAGAAGATCAAAGAAATCAATCTGATGATGGTGATGCAATAATTAAAAAATACTCTAAGCACTGTATCAAAAATATTGTAAGTAATGTACATGTGGCCATGAATACCTCTGCTATGTTATGGTGCTTTCTTAGTGCTAAATGCACTAATATTACTTCAGTAAGCTATTTTTTTTTGGTAATATACAAGGTTGATAGTGTGTGGTACATAAAAACAAATAAGTAAAGATATCTAACATACATTGTGCTTCATTTACGATGAAAAAATATGACTTATTAAGAATATAAAATTCATTTAGATCAAATGGTACCGTGATAGTAGTCAAAGCATAAACGCTGTACTTTTAAATGGTGAAAACGGCAGTTCGGGATTGTTTTTTGAAAGCGTTAAGGTTAATTTTCTGTTTACATTGGAGCTTATAAACTCACATGGAATTAAGCTTTAGAAGATTATTTGGTTAGCACGTAGTCATATTTTACTTTAGTACCTAATTTCTCAGAATTTGGTTATGCCAATTTTACAGGTAACTGATGATGACAGATATTACTGTGTTATACTAGGCAAGAATCAAGAACTGTTGCAAAAATATCCAGTAGACCTTTATGTTTATCAAACTTTTGAAACCGGTCGCAGTTGGCCTGATATTATCCAAAACAGTGAGCCAGTTAAAGGTCATTTTCTCATATGTTTTATTTTTCGCTTTTTGTCGTGATTATCAATGATAATAACGAGTTACGTTCCTTTATTAAAAATGAAGTTTTGTTTAGAGATATTATTTACCATCGACAATAGCAAATGGTCAGTTAACTCGGAAACTGTAAGTCTTTATCAATTTATCCTTTATATCATATCTTCAATTAATTGTTCTGAAATATTTGCGAAATCTTTAATGCCCGGATAGTATGCATCTGCAACATATTTTTTATTTAGATATCAATGCAAATTAGTAGTATCTTCAATGGAACAAAATCCACTAATGGGTATGTTTTTTCTTGTTATAGCAACTGTATGGTAACAGCAATGTCATAGTGATATCATAATTATGGCAATGCCAGTGATAAAAGCAGTTCAAGTTATGAATTCCTTATTTAGGAATTGGTTGTTCCAACAAATTGTCCGACTACCACATGGATGTTATATCATTGAAATAAAATATCAGCTCAAGAATTGTTCAACTTGCTCCTTAGAACTAATTTCACATTCTATAGAAAGTATAAATCTAGCAAATGACCCTTCATCTTATTTGAATGTGTCAAATATTGATTTCATGGACCACAGACTTAATTCGTTTCAAAAAGAAATTTGCTCGCAGCATTCATATTTCTTTGTTGGAATTCAAGGTGATGCCAACAGTACGATATTGGAAAATGTTAAAATTTACACCATAAAGTGTCCGGAGGTACAAAATTGATTCTTTCTGATATTAATTATAGTTGACGAAATTTGAAAAAATATTTTATATTTAGTATATTTTCCTAGTACATTAGGTATACATCGGTTACATTTTTCATTTTATTAATTAAAATAAAATTTAGCTATTAAGAATACTATGGCTATTTGTTTAAAATTAAATGTCAATTCGAATTTAACATTAAAAAAAAACTATTCAAAAAATCTAAACTATCCAAATATAGCATGAACTGTTTTTGTTTTTTAACCTTTAAATAATTAAAAAAAGGATTGAATCATTTCTTCATGAAAGAAAACATTAATTTCCTATCGTTACTAATTATGAGGTACGAGTGAGCTTTGCACTGTTTCCACAAACAGCTGCTGTTAAAGATGGTAGCATCGTTTCCGGACGATGTTTACACGGTGCGCATACCAATATTCAAGGTCGAGATCCGCAACTCTTCTGTACACAACGTGGAAAGTGGATTTATAATGCACAAAGTGCAAATTTATGTTTTTGCAGCGCAAACTATACATCTGAAAATGACGCATGCATAGAACGTGGTAAGGAAGCTGTCAATTGAAGTTGATATTTAATTTGAAATTAAGCTGTTTGAATGCGACGATTGGATTTTTCAAGTTGTATATCAGAAGATATTTCAAATAAGTCACTCTTGCAATTACTATATCTTCAGGTCCAGTTTGTTACGTTTGTTCGGAAACTAATGAAACAGATTGTAATGATTCTTCTGCTGTTTTCTGTGATAAGAAGCAATATTGCTTCACGCAGATAACTAAAACTGCAAAAGGGAATGTGATACGGAAAGGCTGTATTAATGAATGTGCTATAAACCGTATTGGATGTAAGACAAAAGAAGAAGAAGCCTGTAAAATGTGTTGTAAAGAGGATTACTGTAACAGTTGGCACAATATGTCAAAAGTTCATGGTGAATACTTACGTCCCTACCCAATGTTTAGAGCTATATGTCCCAGAAATATTACAGTGTTGAGGTACGCTTTCTTCACAACTCAAAAATCCGAAAAAAAGAACAGTGAATTCCAGTAAATACTCGGGATAATTTTTAAATTCAAAGCTCATATAATTTATTGAACGACGTAAAAAAAATACAATACTTAGTTGAAATTCTCTGAAAATTCATTTCAGAATTTTTCATCTTCAAAAATGCGTTAGAATTAACCTGTTGTCTGCAGAAAGAAGTTTAATTATTGTACTTTGCAGATACTCAAAAGGGTTTTTAACAACTTCAGCAATAGTACCTCCTCTGGTATATAATTATGAGCCGTTTTACGATCTCACTGTTGATCAGGATATTTCCAATGGTACAGTACAATTTGTTAAAGAAACGAATACGATCCTATGGACAGTGACTAATCGAATGTTACAATTTAGAAACTGTTCAACATACGTTTTTCGCAAAGGTTTTTTTTTTCTGGACTAATACGCCGAGCAACAGATGAAATTTATTGAATTTTGGTGAAATTTAAAAAGTAAAAGAAATTTGCAGATTACTGGGCACCTGTGCTTGATTGTCCATCTCTATACATTGATCTTTTGGTAAATACGACATCGTTGAAGTTCAGATTGCGTCTTCCAGACATCAGTTACCGTGATTTCGGCTCACGTGTTTCATTGCATTATGTTCCTTCAAATGGAACCATCGTGGAAATTGATCAACCAGTACAAGTTACGGTTACTGCAACTGATGAAAGTAATAATTCAGCACAGTGTGTATTTTGGTATATCGGCCAAGGTCAGTTACATTAAGTTGGTTGGTAATAAACTGTCGGTGCATAACTGACATGTTAACAGTCATTTTATTTTTTTCTATGGATATTCTTGTTGTTATTTATAATCCGGTAATCCGGTTAGTAAGTTAGTCCACAAGTTTTTATATTCTTCTGGAAGCATGTCATATCAATTCGTTCTTTATAGTAGCTGACTGTCCATTATGGCCCATTAATGAAACAGAATATGAATGTAAGGGTTCAATGAATCAGCGAGTATGCAAACGACGACATAAATGCTCTGGAATACAATTTCCTAATCATGTGACATCTTTACATTGTGTGGCTGGTCAAGGATGGAGTTATATGAGCTCTCAATCCATTGCTAATATTCCTATGAACTTGTTTCGGACACCAATTTGCTTACGTTAGTATTTTTAAGAAATTTCTTTTTTTGCATTACGTTTATTTTATTATCATCTGAAAAATAGTATTTCATTTGTATCTTTGTTTGGTTGCTATTTCAAGCAGTATACAGATTTTCTTTTGTATTCCTGTTTATGTAACCTGCTCTTTATTATAAGTCTTTAGAATTTTTAATTTGTGATGTTAGTCGTGAACTTATAGTATTGTTATTCAAATTCTTTTTTTGTGATTTCAGAAAGTTCTGCCGGAGATGTTCGGTTATCTGTGAATCTTTTCATTAGCTCACATCTAAATGATTCCTGTAGAGCTGCATTAATTGACAAGGTTATTATCTTTTATGAATAGCTATAGAGGATTTAAAGAAATTTTAAGTTTGCTTGATTTCATGTATGTGAGTTCTTAGTTAACTGTTCTGCACATACAAGTAGTAGGCTGAAAATATTGCTCTTTGCACATTATTGGTTTTCTAGTAACCTGAAAATGAAACATATAATAAACTTTGCAATATAATAAACTTTGTAATTAACTTACGTAAAACATACTTCTGCAAGCTTGCTGGTCATTGTTGTTAAGGGATGGCTATAAAACGCAAATTTTTTGAGTTTTACTACATTTTTGCACTGTCTAACTTGTTTTACAGTAGATTACTTTTGCAGATGCGCCATCTGCCTGAAATGCACGAAGCCAAGGAATGTCGTCAGTTGAAGTGGATATTTACTGGGTTATCATTTGTAGACAATAATATATTTATCAACTACACAGTGCATCACGAAAACGTATCGATAACGCTAAAGTGTGCTGCGCAATTTGTCCGTCAAGTCGTCAAAGGAAAGCTTGCATTTAACGTATGTTTTCATAATCTGTTAAATCTCTAGAATTACCTGTTCAAGATTTGTGCAAAGTAAAACGAATTTTGAAACCTTCTTTAGCATCCTAACTTCCGGTCGAATAAAAAGCTTCTGGAGTGATTCAGAAACGAAATGTCATAGTTTGCTGGATCTCTTTCCAATGATATAAGCATTGAGATATGAATGGATCATATTTATAGGTACTAAAAGCTACCTGTAAAAATATTCAATTCAGTGCTTTGTCTGCTAATTACTCAACTGGCTGTTCTAGAGGTTTTTTTTTTCACTTTTCCTTTTTTTCTAAAATTCTTTTCAGTGATACTTTAATTTCAGTATGCTTATGTATTAATTGGTACTAGTTACTTCAATTATGTAAAATGGTGAAAATGATGTAAGCACTGAGGTATGAATGGATCATATTTATAGCGATGTGGAATCTTATTGGTGTTAGAAAAAAATGTCTTATCTTGACAATTACTAATTTTCCAGATGAATGCGGTCCTGGTTTTTATGCTGCTGCAAATGGTTGTTATCCTTGTCCACTTCACAGCTTCTCTGAAACTGTCAGTGCCAGGAATTGTACAAGATGTCCAGAGAATACCTTTACAGCAAGAACAGGATCATTTTCGTCTCAACTGTGTCGAAGTATTTACTAGTTGAGAAGCATTGGTTTCGTTTTATCAGTTTGATTAGATAATTCTGAAATTCTGATGGGGATTTTCATATCCCGTTCAGCTGAATTAATTGACAATTACGATATTTTACGTCTTAATTCTACTAGATTCTTAAAATGCATAGCATAACATTTCAGAACAGTGTCCACCTGGTTTTTTCTCACCAACTGGCTTAGAACCATGTCAGGCATGTGCAGTTGGTTTTTATCAATCTCAATATGGTTTGCAATATTGCAACGGTTGTTTATCACCTCGGACAACTTCAATGGTCGGTTCAGTTTCAGCTAATGAGTGCGTATGTAAGTGATTTCAATCAGCATTTATATATGTTTCGGTATGAATAGGTATATCCACCATACAATCACTAATTCACTGTTTAATGCCGCTCGATAAAAAGACTTATAATTAAGAGAACATGCAAAAGTCACATTCCTATCATTGAAATTTAAGTTTAAAATCAAAAAAAAATTCTTTTTAAGTTGCAGTTTTTTGTATGTTTTTAGTGAAATGTAAACCTGGATGGTTCAGTCGTACAGGTTTTGAACCATGTGTGAAATGCCCAATTGGTTTTTACCAGGATAGAGCAGGACAAACAACATGCAATGCATGTATTATAGATGCCAACAAGGAAGTGTCGGTAAATAATCATTGTAAAGGTAACGTTATGTTTGGATAGTATTCAGATTTGTTAATGAGTGGTGTGTTTGTTCTATCATGAGTAAGAGTGCATTATTGCTGAGGACAAAAAGATAAGAAAATACTGGTAGTGTGATGGAAAATTGTTAGGATTAAAAAGACTGATTGATCACTAAGATGGCAATTCTCATGATGCCAAAGATTGGTTTATCTAACAATATTTGCTACTGGAAAGTTATTGAGACGTTTCATTTCATCTCTCCGTTGATTAGGAGTGTCGAACGTTCTTGTTAAGCCAACAACTGTTTGTCAGCTTGACATGAACATTCATCGTCCCTTGCTTATCTGACCCAATTCAAAAAAGGATGAGATGTTTTGGGCAGGAGAGGACGGAAGAAAGTAAATGAAATAGTAGGAATAAATCAATGTTTCATATACTTTAGGTTTTTCCTGCAAGAAATCAAGTTATAAAAATAATTGCCAGTGTTCAAATGGGCAATGCATTTGCCCGTTCTTTTATATTGGTCTGGACTGCAGTGGCACTGTAGCCCTAAATTTATGTTTGGCTAATTTTTGTCCGCGAGATGAAGAATGTCGTTTTGATGGGGTGACAACTTCTTGTTTTCATAATAGCAGTCCATCATCAGAAGGTATCTATTTCTTGAAGACTTCTTATGCTTATTTTCTATTACTTATTTCTTTAGTTGGAAAAACTGCATAATAATTAGTTTCTAAGAGTAAGCAATAGATAAATTGTACACACTGAATACTCTTTATGGATGTAAAAGGTTTCTTTAGTAATTGCTCGAAAATGCAGTTTTTAAGCATCATCATGTAACTTTTTTAGCAATCGTACAATAAGGAAAAATTGTGTCTTGTTAAAATTTAATAAATTTAAATAAAATTCAAAGTTTTCATTTAGAAATAAAGTGGGAAAACTTATGGAAACTAAAACAACAACAGCAGCAGAAGCAATTGCTCGATGAAAAAACCCAAAGAGTAGTAAATGAATCATCATTATTTACATTTATGACATTTGAAAATATTTCAGGAAGGCTAAATACAGATTTAGAATTAATTGCTAAGCAGTTCTCCATAGAAAATCAGAACCAAAGAGTTAAAAGGAAAGAGAATAAAGAAACAGTAATCTCTATCGGAAGCAATGACTCTATATCAGATCAATCTCAACCAACAATGCAATTTGTTTCTGATCAGTTAACTTCGCCAGAAACTGCTCAAAAATGGAAAAGCAATATGACGCACACAGCAAGATTTCTCACAACCGTTTCTCCATCGGCAATCAAAACGGATATTCACAGAAGTGATAGCATTCAATCTGTTGCAACAACATCAACTAATTTGATTACAATCAATGCAGTCCCAGCAGTTCCGCAAATTCTTTGTTCTCATAGACTTAATTTTTGCAAAAACGGTTTGACTTTTCCTTGACTTATAGAAAAATTGTGATATTATTGATTTCGGCGTGCTATGCATGTTTTGCGTGTTTGTTGAAAAAGCTGAAGAATGCAATGAACATATACATTCTTCAAAAAATGCAGTTTCTAGTACTAACTGGTATATTATTCAGTATTTCTAAAATATGCGGTAGTTGTAGTTTTGAAACTAAAATTCAGGTAGTTGCGTGACTACTATCAATGGAAGTATCAGCTGCATTTGTCGAGAAGGCTATAAAACCAGTGGCAGTGATAACTGTGTTTTGTTGCAAGGCTGCGATTACAGTCCATGTGGACAGGATCCATGTGAAAATATTGACAGTGATTATTTCTGCCAATGTTCAAATAGTTAGTGTTTCTACTTAAATGATGCTCAAATTCAAACAACGGTATTATGTAATAAAAAATTTGAAAACACATTCTAAAATATGTATATTCCGTGTAAGCAAAAACTAAAGAAATTTTCAAATATTGCTTTGTTTTGGAATAATTTCGTCTAATTTAATGCACACGCATATATGAAATCACTTAAATGATGTTTGGTTGTAGTGCATAATGCATTTCATCAACAAAAGTGGTGTCCAATGAATAAAAAATGTGATCAGAAGAACTTATGTAAAAACAGTGGTATCTCAGTGTGTGATTATAAATCGCCGTGCATATGTCCGGCATCCTATTATGGAGAATTTTGTGCAGAAAAAGCTGACCCATGTCAAAATTTACCTTGCGATCATAGTACCTGTATTCCACAATTTGATCACTTATGGCCTTATTATTTTTGCAAATGTGATCCAGGTGTTTAAATTTTTCTTATTTAAACCGATTAAAAAAAAGTAAAATTAAACTTGTAAAATATCATTTCTTAAGTTTTAAAGCATTATTATAAGAAATATAAATTAATTATATCTATATTCCTAAATTCGATTTAAATATTTGACATAAAGAGCTATGTTCTCCATTCTTCTTCATCCTCTTACGGTTATTATGGCTAAATTTAGTTTTAAAATAAATGATATTTATCTCTTTTTTCTATAATAAATAAGTCCGAGTGTCTTAATTGTGCAAATGATTCTGATAAAGTTAGATAATAGTTCGATTCCAGGTTACTATGGAGAGAAATGCACTGCACATGCAGCTTGTGAGGGTAAAAATATCGATTGCAAACATGGTTACTGCATTAAAAATAATCAAGCTGTATACTGCGAATGTTATCCTGGCTTTACTGGAAGCGATTGTTCAGTCGAGATTAATCAATGTGATTTGTCACCATGTGTGCACGGCACTTGTAAGCCAAAATTTCTGGGTTACAGGTGCATCTGTGATGAAGGCTTTAAAGGAAGCCAGTGTGAGGTAATTTCAAGTTTAATTTTTAGGCGTATGCTTGGTCAAGGCCATCACAGTCCTCTGGCAATTCATTACAGCATAGTGGTGACGACATATCTATATGCATGCAAAGTCACGCACGCATCGTCTCACAAAAATCTTACGTTGCCTATCTCAATCCATTCCACATAATCCTTTCTTTTGAGCTAGTTCTCCTAGTCTTACGTAGTCAATTAGCTTGTTGAAGATTCTGGTAAGCTGCAGTCTTTTGCTTCAGTATTAACCTATTCACGCTTAAAGTGGATTTGAAAAACTATGAACATATCTATCTGTATACACTCCGTTGCAACTGTCTAAAATGTAGTTTTCAGAGGCTGATAGATCCATGTGATGAAAAACCGTGTAGTATCAATTCGGAATGCCACGCTTTAAGTTATGGGTACAAAGGCAGATTCGTATGCAACTGTGCAGCGGGTTGGACAGGTACATAAGTACACATTAAGTAGTTAATATTGCCAGCGGAAATGTCTACCAAACATAGTTATATGCATATGCATGTATAGCTTATCCGTCTCAATATGCATCATTTTTCAGGAAAGTACTGCACTAAGCTGATAGACCTTTGCATCCATTCCCAGTGTTTTTCTGGTTCTACCTGCATCACCCGACCTAAAGTTAATGGAGACATTGGTTATGTATGCATATGTCCTCTGAATAAAGCGGGCACTTTTTGTAATGAATCAATTGATTATTGCAAACCAGTGAATCCATGCTTACATGATGGCATTTGTCAGCGAAAAGATGATGGCTACATGTGTCATTGCAAGCCAGGTATTTTCATGTCTTTGTCCATTACAAAGACAATCTGCATTTAATCTACTGCAACAAAAATTTCGAGAAATTGCAGTAATTTAGCATTTTAGCAGATAATATATACAGGTGATATTGATTCGCAATTGGTAAACATTATTATTTGTATATTAAAAGCCTGAAACATTAGTAAAAGCAGCAAAGCAAAAGTTAACAGAAAGTACCACGAACAAGGGAGAGGTATATGAAGTGCATAGCTATAAAAGGATTATGTAAACGAGTGCTAAAGATTATGATGGATATCGTAAGAAAAAGTTTAGCTATTGAATTTGGTGAAATAGGTGATATTTCGTATAATATTAATTTAAATACGCAATAAGTTGGGTGCAATTAGACATTAATTAGTTCAGCTTCTGCTATCTTTGAACAATTTTAATTATATTGCTGTATAAAATGTCCTTAATAATAGGCTATCGAGGAAATTACTGTCAACATAATCTATGCTCACCGAATCCATGCCAAAACAACGGTAATTGCACAATATTGTCGTTGACAAGTTATAGGTGTTCATGTCCTCGATATTATGAAGGTGTTAATTGCACTGAGATTACGGTACGTTGTTTGAAATACTTTCAGAGCGTATGATTTGCAGTTTAAATGTATTTTGTAACTATGGTCTCTCATGATGTAAAAGAAAGACACTGGTCAACTTGATGGAAAAAATCCGTTTTGAATCTCACATTTGCATATTCGAATTCTTTCTTACTAGTTGATTCTTTTTGTAGGATGTATGCGCGGTTAGTAATTTTGAAGATTACTGTTTGAATGATGGCAAATGTATTTCCAACGATTCTGAGCCTGTTTGTCGCTGCACACATCAGTATGAGGGACGGAGATGTGAAAACAGTTAAATTTTGTTATTATTTTTCATGTATTGATGGTACCAGCCATTTCTAATGGATGATAAGCAATTAATTGTTTACAGAAAAAGATTTGGACTTTAATGTTATGTTTAATAAACAAACACGAAACTTAACATCCACGTCATTTGATGCCAGCATATTGAAACAATTCACATTATGTTTCTGGATCAGGATAATGTCAATGAAAAACGATTCTTTTATCTCGTTTATTGATTTCCTTCAAGAAGGGTATGAATTTTAGATGTCATTTTAACCTCATTCAGGAAGCTCGGCTGGCCCAAATTACTCCATCAGTGGGACTAAATATTTTTAAAGTGAGTGTAAAAAAAGTCACAATGGAAAACAGGGCATTGGGAATGATAGTTTAGTGAATGTTAATTTTGCAAATGATAAAACGAAGAGAACCAGAAGATGCGCACTTGAATTAGTGCACGATCATATCTCATTGCATTGCATTTACCTTTCTATTAAGCAGATGCTTTTGTTAGTTGCTTTGTTTTATGTGTATAGGGGTCGTTTTAGATTAAGAAAGAATATTCTATCAATAACAGAGAATGCAGTAAGATTTGGCAATTATGTGGAATGGATTAATATAACGGAAAATCAATGGCAACAGGTAGAGCAACTTTTATAAGATAAGGTGGACTTCAAATCTCTTATATTTTCAAATTCTGTTTTCTGCGCGTATAGATTATTTATTTCATAATATGTCTGCAATTTAGAGTACGGAATTTTTTTAGCTTTGTTTCCGTAGAAAGGAGGATGGAACTACCGAGTGGATACGAAATGGTGAGATTGTGTGGAAAAAGAACTGGGATGCACCAGCGATCAATGGAAGTGTAAGGATTTCGTTAGGGGCTTCAAAATCATTTCACGGAGAGATGAGTATGGTTCAGGTTTGCTTTTTCATCTCTCTCTATTTTCTCCTATCATTTATAGCAACCGATAATTTCTTTTCATGAATAAGAAGCTGAAATCATAACATTAATACTTTTTGTACTGTTATGTAAAAAAGGATATGCAAATTTCCGTGGATTTTCAAATGTTACCGTCTGTCATAATTGCTTGGAATTGCTCTCTGTAATAAAATTGCAAAACAGTTACAATTCTTCGTTTAAGAAATATAAGGATTGGAAAATGATTTGCAGTTTGATTTGACCTTTCGCCAGGCTTGGCGAACATAAATTGGCCACTTTTTAGCTGTACAGCACAGCTCTCTGCAACAAACAGATAAATTATTCTCTTCATAACTGTAAGCAGTGGTTGCAATCAGTCGCAGCAAGTAGCGAAACTCCTGTTGTTGAATGGAATCAGTTCGCAGGTGTTAAACGTGGAAACCGTAATTTTCCGGGAATTTGTACGCTTTCTGACTGTTTATTAAATCCATATCGCTGCAATTCAGCTATGGGTAATCTTCGCTTTACTCTTTCATGAGGAAATTTGTTAAAGTGTTAATTCGTTTTTACTCATATATAGAAAAACTATTTTCATACATGACTGACTGTTGCCTCTATGTAGAAATAAAGTTAGTATCATTTCATTCATCTATTTTTGAAATGCTTATTGTAGATAAAGTGCCACCAAAAGTAATAAATTGTCCATCAAATATCCTTGTAACTTCTAAGAATAGATTAACGATCGTGAATTGGTCTCCATCGAAGTCGAATGAAATCTTTGCCGATAACGGTATCATTAATATGTCATCAAATTACAATAGTGGTGATGTTTTTACTTGGTAAGTTGCAAGACATCTATAACAAATATCATTTTGTCCTGAATTTTCATCTCATATTAGTATGCTCACTGTAGCCTACGAAATATTCTATGCTTAGTATTATTGCTATTACTGATTGGATGTTAAAGCATAAGCTTAATAGAAATGTGATAAATATCTAAGGGTGAAGTATTTTAGGGGTAAAGATGATAGTTACTGAAAAGAAATGGTTTCTAATAAAATATTAATAACATAGGGGTAAGTATCACATTGTGTACATTGCGGAAGATGAAGCTGGAAATATTGCAACTTGCCAATTCGATCTTGTCGTAGCAACAATGAATTGCTCTAATCCTGGGAAAACTGATGGCATTAATTTTATGGTTCAAAATATCCATTCAGAAAATGTTCAGAAAGTGGCATTTGTTGGGTGTAAAGCGAATTATATGCCTATTCATCCGGTCACCAACTTCTATTTCTGTGACGTAATGGTTCGTTTTTTGGAGCTATTTCAATAAAGAAACGTTAGAGCATGTTGGAGAAATTTGCGTGCAATGAAATTAAGTTTTACCATACCTTGAATTCTGAATTTACCAATTCTTTTATGAAAAACGAATCTGAGAGCTTCATAGGTTTTCAAAAAATAATCTGCGTTATATTCAATATAATAATCGACCCATAAATAGCAACGGATTGTTTTTATACTGTTTTATTCTTTCATAGGGTCAATGGAATCGCTGGCCGCACGGAATCAATTTCTATTTTCCAAGTTGTTTAAAATATCGAGCTCCATTGCAACAATTAAGTGGTCAGTACTTTTTTTTTTCAATTCAATTAAATTTGAAAATAATACAAGACGATCTTACGATCATCTTGTAAAGTCAGTCCGGAGTAAAATCAGTCCAGAATTGAATCTTCTTTGATTGTTTCAGGTTTGGTCATCGCAACAGCAAATTGTAGTGAATTTGATATGTATAAAAAAAATTTAACAACTGTAATTTTGGTTAGTTTGCAGTATTATTTTGCTGTGCAATGAGCCTGATTGATGGTTCTTAGTTGATCATTCATGTCACTGATATTTGAAAAGTGTCTTAAATATATTATAAGACTATTATATTTCACATTATTTGACAGTTTTTGTTTCTTGTTTGATACATTCAGAAGTAAAGCACCAAATTTAACATTTAACAGAAATTTACAATCACTATACATTGCCCATTCTAGAAAAACAATTTAGCTTTTGTCTTCAGTTCGAATAGTTCATTTGAAATATTTTGTAATGAAAATGCTAATCATTTCAGAATGCGAATAAAGAGTTCAATCGTTTCTGTACTACACCGAACTGTAGCAAAGAACTCAGAATTTGGTCAAATTCAAGTTGTAAAAATCAAATTTTGAAGCAATCCAACAAATCAATTCAAAACATATATCTTTATTACTCGATTACCGTAAAGTTCGTTGTCTTTCTTTTTTTGTTATCGCAAAAATAAAATTTGCGATGGCCGAAACAATAAATTTATAAGAAGTTCGGATTTCAGATTAATTCATTCTTACATGCAACATAAAAGTAAATGACTTACAATAAAAGCTGTTTTCTTTAAATCCTGAGATTAATCAACTTAAGTGCGGGAAATTGTCCCTCCACTATTGATGTTGATTTCTTTTAATCATTTTTTGAGCAGCATGATTTTTGTCATGCCTATTAATTTGCTCACCATTCCTATCTTGAACAACTTTGTCAAATTTCTTCATCCAAATTGCGGTGTATATTATGCACTCTACAAATTAAATAGAAGATGGTAATCTCTGCCAACCAAGACTTTATTATATTTTAATGCCCTGCTCCATTTGGATCAAATTAAACCAAATTTTAAGCACCACAAGAAAGTCAATAAAACCTGTAGTAACCGAGAATCTGAACAAAGTATTTGGCAACAATACAGAAGAGCCAAACACGTCATGGCAATGCCCCTCTAAAAATTATCCTGCTCAAATTTTTAGAAGTGATACGCGCTCATGTGGTACTATTTTCACTTTTTCGCTTTTGTATATTTTTAATTTTTGCAATCTTAACAGAAAAAGCAGATTAAAGACGAACAAGGAACTGTTTGAACTCACAGCCACATAGTTTTCACGGTTTTTCGCAACCGTGGTAATTATAATTTTTAGTCAAATGTCCACCTGGCATGCACTGTGTACACGATAAATGTATACCGTGTCCGGAGAATACGTTTAAGAAACATTCGGGTTGTAAACAATGCATTCCATGTCCGAATAATACAATAACTGGTCCAATAATTGAAGACATCGGTTATCAGAGTATTTTTGACTGTTACAGTAAGTTTTGTTGTCGTTATTATGAATTGGATTGATGAAAAGGAAACGTTCTAATACCAAACAAATCATAAAGCTTTTTTTTTCTTTTTTCTAGGGAAGCTCAAAAAAAAAACATTCTAACATTAAATAAATGAATAAAATTTAGATACACGGCTTTAACTGTTTGCTAAGCTCCTTATCATAATTTCAGCAAACTGCAGTGCTGGTTATCATTACAGCATTCAAGAAGGGAACTGTGTTAAATGTCCAAAAGGAATGTATCAAGATCGACCAGGGCAATTAACATGCAATGCTTGTCCGGAATCTCGCACCACGCCAAAAAATGTATCATCATTTCGTCTTTTTGCTTTGCTCCAGCTTGTCAGCTCTTTCACTTTTTATATGCATTAAATTTACATTCTATAGTAGTGATAATGTTCAGGGTTCTGTACATATTTCAAATTGTACGATTACCTGTGGTGCAGGTATGTCAATGAATGAACAGGCTCAATGCGTCAAATGTGCAAAAGGGAAATATCGGAAAGAAAATTCCACGGAAGCTCGCTGTACTCCATGCCCTGACCACTTTACCACACCTGGTAATGGAAGCATTAGTCCAAGCAATTGCACTATGCTCGATTGTCCTCCAGGAACGTATATTAATTTGTCGTCGCCATCAGAATGTTTCTTTTGTCCTCGAAATCATTATCAAGTAATAATGGCGTTATATTGCAATAGAAGTGTCAAGCTAACTTCCAAAATATATCGTTTTAAAAACAAGTGGAAATTCTTTTACTAGTAATTCATAAACGAATTATAGATGAGAATTTATGACATATAATAAGAGATATGCATGCTTAAAATTTACCTTCAAATTTTGATTTTCAAGTATTTTGCAAGATTGAAATGAATAAATATTATAAGTGGGATAACTGTTCTTGGAGATATGGAGTACATAAGGCATAATGGAACGAAAGATATGAAGTGTTATAAAATTGCATTCTTTTAATCTCCATTCCAGGAAAAGTCAAATCAAACGGAATGTCAGCAATGTGTAAAGCCTCTTATTACCCTGGGAACGGTATGTTTATTTCTCATAATTCGCCTTTTTTTACAGTATAAGTGGACTCATCTTTTTTTTTTATATTAAATGCATAACTTAACATCTTTTGAATAACAACAGTTTCCCAATAAATCTAATTTGATTCTTTGATAGTTTTGAGATCAGTGAGTAAGCGAGACCGCAATTTCTACTTTAATCCATTCTTTTAGTAATTCATCAATCAAAATTTATATGATTTATATAGACACCTGTTTTTATTGATGTTTTCTTACCGGTCTAGTCGTTGCAGAGAACGATCTAGGAAAAAAGAGTAATTGGTGTTATGACATTTCCCATTGCTCATTCATATTTTTTAACACTTATAAAACTATAAAAATTATGATTTAAAGAACTTACAACCTTATCAAATAGTGTTTTACATTGTTAACAATTTTTGACATATTTACAATACACAAAAAAATGAACGTTACCATATTTTCAGGGTTCCGTACATCCTCGACAATGTATGAAACCATTGTTCTTTAACTCGGAGGTTTCAAATGTTGATATCAGTAAGTACTTTAGTTCGAATCTCTGGCCACATTTTGGATTTGTTGGTATTATTGGTGCGATTGCAATTCTTGCTCTACTTTACTTTCAGAGACAAAGGTTTTTGTTTTTATCGAGTCAGTTATATTTTCCAAAGCAAAACATGATGGAAGCATAATATCTAAAACTTTCAAATAATCCACAGGAACAATGAACATGCGTTGACGAATGAATTTCTGCTAAGCTATGGAGGATTTGCTTAAAGAAGATTCTGGATAATCGTATTAAACGTAAATTGTCTCATATAAAACAAGTGAATCAATGTAAATATGAACAAGAAGCACACAGTGCCATTAACTAAAGCAAATGAATACTTCATTCAATGCTTTAAGGATACGATGGTTACTTTGCAAGATAAGACAAACGCAGATAAAACGCATTGCCACACTGAATTATTATCGTGACTCTTCTTTCACTTATCCAATTGTGACCGTAACACCAACAAATATTGGTGCTGCATCAGACTTTATTGAGGACAGAGTTTCAAAAAATCTCGAGCCACAAGTAACAATTTTCACGCGTAATTATTTTAACCTTTCGCTTCGTTTATTGATTTGATTTAGTTTAGTATTGAGCACTGATTTATAAATTTATAAAAGTCTGAAATCCGTTAAATTGATTAATTTTCTAAACTAATAAATGCGACAAATTGATGTTCAAGCGTATATGAGCAGGAATGCTTAACACAAAATAAAGAAGGATAATTTCAAGTGAATATTGCATTCACTACTGCAGGAGATGGTGGAAATTTATCAAGAAATCTGTGATGGATTACACAGTATGGCAGAGGGAACATCGTGCATGTCAAATAATGAATTGACCTCAAGTCAGTACGCCAGGCACATTTCAAGAGCTCATCTTAAAGTTGATACTTCATTGAGAGCTGAGTTTTGTGGTGATCCGAAGACATTAGGAATGGGCTCATCCGGCTTCCCCATCGATTCTGCCGACTATGAAAATGCCGATCAGTGTAAATCGATGGATGCAGAGAGTTATGGGCAAGATTCGCAAGCTTCAGATGAAGAAAATCAAATCTCAAGGTAACAAGGAAAATTCGGTGATTCCAATAACGAATCCAAGGGGTGAAAATCATTGCAAAAGAAATTACCTTTTTTTGGGAGGTCTGGAAATATTAGTGGGTTCGCTTGGTTTATTAAATTCACTAATTTTTCATTTAGCTTTAAACGACGACTTGCTGCTTACCGGAATTGGAATCTACGGATACCTCTGGACGAGATATACGCAGAGCCCACTGAGCATAAATTGTTTCTGTCGAAAACGAGCGACATCTCTGTTGAGAAAACAAGCGGCATTTTGTATGAGGAAAGTAGGGATAGTGAAAATAAAGATGAAGATAGTGATGATGAGGTTCGTATTAAAATTCAACGGACGTGATAATATATTGATAGGATAGAAGAAAAGATTTAACTTCGCTTCAATCATTCATTTATTTTAAATTATAATACGAATTTTCAGGACTACTTTGGTTAATCATCTGGAGTGCTATTTCGTCATAAGAATTTGAGCCTTTGGATTCAAAACCAGTACTTCACAGCTAAAACGAAATATGAAATGCAGCGAGAAAGTTATAGAGCAAATACAACTGATAGTCTGAAATTGGGTGAAGCAAGTAATCTTGTCTTTAGTACAATATTTCTATATCGCATGCATTTCAAATTCATCCATTATTTTCAATTGCACCAGTGATTTTTGCTTCACTTCTTGTAAATAATTAGAGAAAACAAAATTTTACATTTAATCACATTAGTTCTGATCCATAATTATATACAAATTACTTGTACCGATTGGAATGCATTATAATAACAACCGATATAGGGAAATTGTGTAGGAGTAAAAGTTCAAGGTACAAATAAAAATTTGGAATAACTGTTCTAATTCTAAGCAATCTGAGATTGGGAATGTCATTTTTAAGGTTGATGTAGGGTCAGAATGATAGTGAAAAACACCTCTTTTAGCATGTCTCAGCAATTTGCGTAAAATATCAAGAACTTCTGTTTTGTATTCCCCATCTTTGATGAAAATACAGGAGTGAGTGTGATTGCTAACCAGTCAATTAACTGTTAGTGACTTTTTGTCAGTGCACTTGCTATGGTGCTTCCCTTTATTTCTCTGCAACTTACCAGAATTATTTTTGCAATTTTTAGGGAGGAAAGATCACTAACCTATTTTAGAATTTCCAGCATTTATTAACCATTCTAGTCAAAAGATCCTAAAGAGAGAAAACTAAAATCCCATAAATTCATATTATAGATTAAAATATTAATTTATGCTCTTAGAGGCAATTCAAATTAAATCACATCGTGATCAGAGTCAGAAAGAGTGATCATGAGTTTATCTTCTCCCTGAGTACAGCATTTGAAGCGAGATCCAGTACAGCCATCCACTTTATTTGAGCATCTTCGCTCTCCACAGAAACCATATACTGTCGTTGCATATGCTTTATGGTAAATGTGAGTCGTTCACTGTTCATCGTAAGTTCACAGCCAGGAAGCGGAAGCATTGCAAGAGCACTTTCTGCCTATAAGTATTTAGCAATAATACAAAAACTGTACGGATGTTTGTTCGTTGATTTTAGCTATTTCAGTACCATATATCTGAAGCTAAAGAATACAAAGCATCACAAGGCACCTTGTTTCATTGTATTTACAAGCTCTCCCGATTTAAGAATTTGAAAGTTTGGGTATAATTTAAAGTGAATATAAATTAAAGAAATGAACTCACATTATCGGAAGCATAGGAATACAAGCAGAAGTCTTTACGCACAACGAAATATCGCTTTAACGGCTTGTTCAATGAACCGCGGAATTTGACGTAACTGGCATAGAGTATTTCGCCTTCTTTGGCTCCTATCGACAGCGGATTTGTTCGTGTTTTCAGAACATTTTCTTTTGGTTGGGAATAATCCTTAAAATTCATAACTACTTCAATAAAGCAACTCTTTAGTATGATCACCAAACATATCAAAAACAATTTGATCCACATCTGGAATTGTCCACTCTAATTTTACAATTAAAATGCAACCCAACAGATCTTTAAATTTATAGTTTTTTTTTAATCAATCGAATTAAACAAACGTTTAATCTGAATTATGACAGGATGAAACCCATCAAGGAATTCGATTTAGAATTTCCGAGGGAACTGAAATGTTCTTTAAGGATAATATATGCACCCTGTATCCAAACTTTCCAAATATTATATAATTAAATCATACTAATTCTTTGAGAAACATCCTACATGACTTACGGGCTGTCGCAGGCAAGTTTCACAGATACGCATCGTTTTATCTTCGTTGCGCAGCTTCCCAAAACACTTTTTGCAAAATCGCTGCGCGCAATGAGCACATGCAGTACCTCTGGAGATGAAAGAGAATTCGACGTCACATTTAGCACAACAGCGGTTTTCAGATCGCGGTGATGTAATAGATGGTATCTATAAAAAATACTTTAGGTTGCGAACTTGGGAGATTTGCCCTTATTAACTACACAACTCTAAAATATTGTTTCGTCTATTTTCGATTTTACGTAACGCAAATAAAGTAGCCATGCTGTCTAACTGTATCGAAATTGATGGATGTTATGAGTAATACCTGCGGATTGAAGGATTTCTTGCGCGATAAACTTTCACTGATAACATTCCACACCGCATCTATCCATGCACTTTTTTCCTCGCTAGTTGCGGTCATTAATTCTACACAGCTGTAAGAAAATTCAGTAAAATTATTGCTAGGAAAAATTTAGATTTAAAATTTACCGAGATGGACCAGCTGGTGAGTCGGAACCGCGCACATAGAACGAATTTTCTCGTTCAAGATTATCTCCTTCACAAATCTGAAAGAAATCAATTCAAACTTTCAAAACGAGCAAGAAAAGAAATTATATTTTTTTTTTAAAATTGTTATACTGTTTGCACATTTAAACTGCTCGTCTTCATCCATTCTCAGCAGTACTCGTTCCCGATGCACAAAGCACTACTCTCTCATTGAATTTACAAAAATCGCAACTTTTTTGTCGGCTAGATCTTTATACAAAATACTCTATACGTAAGAGGAACTATGTCAATTCAAATAGAGTTTAGCTTATATTACTATTCATTTGACGTGATGGAACTCTATTCGTTATCTATTTGTCATATAACTTGTCCTCATAGATTTGAAGGTATTTAAAACTATTGTAATCAATCATTAGTCAACTTATTGAATGGCCAGCTGAAATGAATATCTTTTAATGATTAAAAAGAAAACGGTAATGAAACAGACCTGTGCTAATGTCGCGTCGAATATTGCTCGAACCTTAAGTTTGGCAAAACCGGGCAATGTTCTTTCCGAAGCAAGAAGTAATAAATCGTTGAAAAGAAACAAATGCCGTTCTTCAGTCTTTTCCGATGATGACAATATCTTCAAAATAAATAGTTACATCTTTTCCTACATAGCTCTACCTTTAAATTTATTTCTATAATCGATCTAAAGTTTCTGCATGGAATAATAAATGGTGAAACATATCAAATTTCTCCTTTCAAAGAACCACCTACCTTCATTACTTTTCCTTTACGGATTAATTCGCGGCCTGGCGATACCAACGATATTGTACTACCTACCTGCTCTTGAACTTCTAGCACGTTTTTGTAACGGTCCTAAAAGTTGAGCATTAATAATTTTAACTTCATAATTAAATTATTTTGGCATAAATCCAGTTATCATTTACACATACCAATTTTCGCATCATCTCGTTTGCATGACTTGCCGCATCAAGTACCAATTCCAGAGCAGCTACTGTATCTTCGTAATCAGCATCTGAAGGATCCAGATGCTTCTTGTATTCCTTGAAAAGAAAAGCAACATTGTAAATGATTTTTCTTATAGTCGTTTCCTTAAAGAGAATAATATGCTAGCCAATCAAGATCACTTCAATATGAACTATCAATACTGGAGTAAATAGTCTGAAAACCAAATTATTACCTGCAGTAACAGCTGATATCGCATGACACGTTGCACTGGACATATCAAATGTGAAACCAGAGGTAGATTTTCGCATTCTGGTTTCATCTATAAAGAAGTGAATAAAATAGATTACTGAAAATTGGAACTGTCCTGTAAGTCTTCCTTGCATTTTGATTTCCTTTTTTTTTAAAAACTAAATGTTGCGCAGAGTAATCACAATATGCACTTAAAAGTTAATACTTACAGATATCCTTTTTTTTAAAAAACAAGTACCTCAATTTCGTGGACAATTTGTGCAAAACGTCGCTTTTTACGCAAACAATCGTTGAAAACTTTAGTCGCTCGTTTGTAATTGTTTGTGTATTCGGAATACATCTTCAAGAAAGGAGCACGTTTGCGAAGAACATCACTGATTCTTAAAAACAATAGATGAAATAATACAGATATCCATGTACAATGTATAAATAACACTGCCTTACAAATTCATAGACACTACCTTAAGCTTAGAATAACAGTTTTTCACAATTTTGCATATTTTTATTTGGATTATTTGATGAAATTAAAGCGGCCGTATTTTCTTGAAATGAATACAGCAATAATAATAAATGAATTGGTTCACACCTGTGTGTGGTATGCCAATCTCGTGAACTTTCCATCAATGCAGGCAACAAGTGAGTGTTGTGAAACTGATGCAAACTGGATATGTTTGCAAACAATTGTGTTATTCGATCTCTTTCAAGAATTTTCTCCTCATCAATTTTTTTCCGGAATGTCTGTAATAAAGATTAAAAAATGGATTGAAATATCCGCAGAAATATCACGTAGTTTCACTCTGAAACCGCCAGCGCATAACAATTTCTGTTGTATCATTTTTATTTATCCAGTTGAAGAATTACTATTACTTTGCTGATGATTTACTCATAGCTCAGTAATTAAAATTGAGCATATAAGTCTTGTTTAAATTATACTTCATCAAGTAGGCGAAGTTTGTCAACATATCGCTGTTCCGAATCAACTAATTCTTTGGCAGCAAGCCAAGCTTTTTCGGTACGTTTCATAATTTTTTCTTTCATTGCTGGTATCCGATTTAAGCTTCCTCCTGAGATCATTACAGACTGTGTGTCTGGAATTTCTGAGATTTGAGACTGTATATCCGCGATGATATCATCGTTAACATCATCTGCTTCTTCTTCCGATAGGTCATCATCCCCAGAAGTATCACGTAGTTTCACTCTGAAACCGCCATCTGGACCTATAAGAAAATAAAAATTACTGATTATAAAGAATAATTAGGGATGAAATGAGGATCACTTCTATAACAAGAAACTCTGCTAATGTTTAAAGATTCGAATCAAGATAAAATTTAATTTTTGAATTATAAGTGAATGAAACACACCCTTATATTCCATGAAAGCTCTGAATTTACTTTTCGACTCCTGTTTCACACCATTTATGTACATTTCATGTTTTGAAAAACGCGTACTGCAAGTGAGAGATTCTATCAAAAGTAAGAACTAAATTTTAAACCGTAACAAAATGAATACTACTTTTAATACTGTTTGATGCATTACATTAGAAGCAATATTCGTTTCTTCGAAAAGACACTTCGCTTTTTCGAGAAGTGCAGTGTTTGTATTTTTTCCCAAATTTTCAAAAACAAGCTGAAAGTGCTCATTCCTATTCCAAAATATGTTCTTTCAGTCGCCATCTAATTTAATATTCGAATAGGGTCCGAGTTTCGGTATAGCAGAAATTTTAAACAAAATAAATTCGAAACTCATAAACATTTGAATTTAGAATTCTTCTAGGAAAGTCGTAGGCCTGTTGTTGATGTTATTTACCTGTTGCATAAGGAATTGCTCGAAAACTTAGTATAGCTCCCAATCAAAAGGTTAATTCATTAACAATGTTCATTTAAATTAACCTGTAGGCTCGGGAAGAGCGCACTCGTGTTGTTGTACTACCGTCCGGGTTAACAATCGTTTCAACTTCAGTTTGTGGTGTATCCGAAAGCGATGAACTTGTTCTCATTTCAGAAAACAGTTCAGGAAACATATTTCTAAGCTGGTCTTTTTGTTCATTTAACATATTAAGAAATTTTTCCTGTGTCTTTTGCAGTACCGCACTAATTGTTGAATCCTGAAAACTCAACTTTCACTTAGTTTGCTTTTTCAACTACAATCTTAAACAAATTGAGAATTTAGATTTTTTTTCCTGCTAACTATGCGGGAACACCTCAGGATTAGAAAAATCCACAAGAGCCTTAGATCTATCAACGAGGACTATTGGCTGCCGGAAACCATCGATATCACCAAACAATCGTTCTGTTTTTTCTTCGATCAAAGCTTTCCGACCTAAAAACACAATGCTCAAACTTCAGAGCATTGAAAAATGCGACCGTTTCCACCAAGTTTATTGCAAATACTGATCAAAACTATGTTATTGCTAACTTAAATAAATAATTAATGCAAAACATGCAGTTGATCCATTTCCACTTACCATTAGCAATTTCGGTTTTCCTGGTACTTTGATTGCACTCAATTTTTAATTTTCTTCGACAAGTTTTTGTCATTTCTTCTTGACCATCTGCCGAGAGAATGTGATATTCGGTGACGTGTACCTTACAACCATCTGTTTCGTCAACTTCATCGAACTGCAAACATTCTGAAATTATCAGAAGCCGTCCAAACATGTCAACTAGCGTTCAAAATTCAATAGACACCTTGTACAACATACATACAACAATATAGAAGCAACCTCTTTTACATCCAGCAAAGTTCCACCCTGCAAATCTACGGTAGCAGGTGGAGATAATTTCTGAATGAGTGATCCATCTGGAACGATATCCATTTTACATTAGAATAAGCAGCGGCAAATAAGGCTAGCTGCTTGGACTATCTATCACCACTTCTTCTGTAAATACATCTTTTAGTCGGTAGGTTTACGTTGAAATTTTTTCAGTCGTTTATTTCTCCGAAATTTGCAAGAACTACTCTTTTCTCTTTCAAAACTCTATAAAAGAAAGCGATAATTGCGAAGCGTTTCATATTTGAATAAATGATATGAAATAAATTTCACGTTACATAAATATTTATAAACACTTTTTGACTTAGCATGATAAGCTCAAAAGAGATAACACATATTAGAGAGTTCATTATTTTTATAAACCAAAGAGGAATTGAGCTTTCCAGATCATTTGACAGCAGCAGTTGTATCTACCAGCGACATTTCGATGACACGGAAAAGGTGGTAAAATGATGTTTTGTGATGTCATGAAAATGACAATGTGAATAAACAAATAACAATTACATACTGCTAGATAGAGCATAGATAACATAGAGGGAAGTGCTTAGTTTCATTGCAGCTGGAATATCAAAGTTAGAAATGCTACGGTATTGCTTGCCTGCTTGAAAGAACTGAAAATGATGTCTTTTTACATCTTTTCAATGTTAAACGAAGATTATTGAGTTTTTATATTTAATTCCATCTTATCGGCCATGTTAATTACTTTTCCCGATGGAATATTTTCATAAAAATAGCACCGATTAAAGCAACTGTTCGTTAATTGTACAATTAGTAAAGGATTATTGGTTTTGATAAATCTTATTAATTGACGGTGACATACTTTCAGTTAGAATGAATAACTTTGAACTTAATTTTAAACATTTTCAATTTTTTTTTTTTTGAAATACAAATTCAATACAAACTTCAATGGGTTAGAATTTTCGACAGTGTATAATTTGGTAAAAAAATTTCACAATGAACATCTTATCCTTATCTTATCCAAATGAATATTATATCATGAAGTAAAATATTTAAAATAAACACAAAATTTATAAATTGGTAATAAAAGATAAAGAAAAATAGATAGGGTAAGAAGTGTCCGTCTGAGAAATTAGCATATCATCAATCAATGAAGTAATCAATCAAACAATTATTTCCATCATGATAGGAAAAGTGATGTCAAGAGCGATGTATTATGATGATGGATATGATGATGCACAGGGAAAAATATCATTGTCGCTTCTTTCTCAACCAACAACAACAACAACAACAACAACAACAACAACGCTTAAACATTTTCAAACATTTGTTCAGTCAACTCTGCCAAATTTTACTTCTTGTATTCATTTCTGTTTGCCGTTCATAAATAATCATCCGACCTATCTACTACCACTATACTTTCTCATGCTCTTCCACTTCCTCTCTTCCTACTACTTATCATGTTCATTTCCATCCTATTTCGTTCTATTCCAATTCTTCACCATCACAACATGTGGTCGTCCATTGATGCTTTTTATATCATCGATCGAAACAAACGATGGTATGGTATACAGCAGCCGGCAGCCGGTTTTTCAACGAACCATGCCAAAATGACAATACGAATATTTCGATCATCGTTGCCGGAGTGATTAATGCTATTAGCAGCAGATTTATAATTATACTCAGTAAGGTATTCATCAGAACTTGGTAAAGATAAAGATAATTATGAAGTCGAGAGTGACGTCGAGAGTGGCGCAATGGATAACGCGTCAGTCTACGGAACCGAGGATTGCAAGTTCGACTCATTATAAAGATATGGGAATGTTATGTGATGTTACGTAAACAGTGTCATGTTTTATTTTTCCTTTTTTTTTATCAGATGATAATAATTCTCATATCTCCTTCCCCCATAAATACTACCAAAAAAGCGGTCAATGTGAAATGAACCCATTAGTAAATTTAAATAAATTATTCCCCCTACATTTAAAACGAATAACACTGCTTCCTTCTATCTGATTAACTGCTAGGAAATAATTGATAAATTCAAATAATGGATGTAACTCGCACATTGTAGCAAAATTTAATATCTATGGAAAATCTTTGTATGTTCAAATGCGCGCACAGATACACATACACATATTATTATATAAATTATTCCCATATTTAAAGAATATACAAAAAAAAGAAGCCAGGTAAAATAATAAATAAACATAATTTGAATGACTGATAAAGTATTATTCCCCTATAGTGATATAAATAAACATAAACTCCATTTACAAAATTAGATTAAGGAAGTAGGAAGTAAAAAGAGGAAGTAAATTAGCAGTAAATTGGCTTCATGTGATACTAACATATCATTGGAGATAAAGAGGAACCGGAAGGTGATCAACACATGCCGTCTTCCTCATGTTATTCCCTCAAGGAGTAGTAACTCATGCTAACAAAAAAGGAATTAACTATGAAACATATGTAAAACTACTCCGGCAAAATTTTCTAACTAAATGATTCAGCATATGAAATATTTTACATATTCTTTGAAGTATTGCCGATATTTCATGCACACATGTATGATTGTGATCCAAGATTAAATGCAAAGTTATGAAAAATATTCGTGAAATTCCCTTTTGAGATAACTTATAATCAATCAAAAAGTAAAAAAGAAAAAAGAGATGGAAAGGGAAGGATTGATGGTAAATGTTGATCAATGAATAGCATTTAAAAGACTTCAATGTTTAATTTTGGTCAGAAAAAAGGGCAAAGATGAAGTGAGATTGGAAGTTAAGCCAATTTCATTCTTCAACAATAATTTATTTTTTTTTTTATTTTTACTTTCTTTTTTTCCGTCAAACGTTTATTTGCCCATAGAGAATTGAAAATGAAAAGTTAATTGGTGAAAAAAAAACAAAAAAGGAAGAGAAGAGTTAATTATGTTAATGACAAAATTATTGATGATGGAATAAATTTTTTTTTAAATAAATAATATTAATGAAAATAGAAAAAAGCCAACAGATACGCGCTGGAAATAGTCTATCAGTGATAAGATGAGGAAATAAAATTGCTGATTGTAAAAAGCACACGGCGCAATATAACTAAGGAAGCACAACACACCAACTAAATCGTCCTACTGAAAAAGCAAAGAGGCATAACCGCCCTCAATGAGCATGACTCAACAGCAAAAGGCTATCTGCAATATGAACAATATGAATGAATGTGTATGCACGTGTATGTAGATGTATGTGTATGTGTGTGTATGTGTACGTGTGTGTATGTGTATGTGTGTGTATGTGTATGTGTGT